GACGAAGAAAGACCCCCAACTGATCCATGCCGTTTTCATTGATTTTTTTTTTTGTTCATATGTTAGGGACGTTATTCTAAGAAAAATACTAAGACAGTTTAAGCTGATGGTTCTTCCTTCGAAAGTTAAGACCGTTTTACTACTTTTTCCACTTGGCACAAAGTATATCGAGAAAAATTGAACAACAGAATTTCAATCGAAAATTCTGCTCGTATGTGGTTCTCATGATCTTTGGAACACTCTAAATATTTCAATGGAAAAAAAATTTTCTTTTGAAAATATCGATTCTTAGAAACTTATCTCATAATCTATAAGTTTCAGAAAGATTGGCGTCGGTTGTTCGATTTTTTTGTATATATCTCGTGCTAGGCAGAAAAATCCATAAAATGATCATAACTTTCAAAGGAACACTCATCAGTTCAAACCCTCTTAGGATTTCTCTTAGAATAATGTCTCTAACATATGAACAAACAAAAAAAAAACATTGCAAACAGCGTTGATTAGTTCAGAAAACTTTCTCTCGTGAGTACTTTTTAATGATAGACAGTACTCGTTAATAAAGTATTTGTTTAAGATGATATTATTTTTATTTTCTAGAAAATCTTCAGTAAAGATTAGATCATTATTCATGCACCTACAGATGAGATATAAGTCATAATACAATATTCGTTGAAAGTTATTGTTTTCTCCTAAAGAATTGATTTCTTTTGCTAAGACTAAGAAAGTTCAAGTTCAACTGAAGTAATGTCATATCATCAAAACATTCATAATAATAATAAAAAAAAGTTTACTGGAGGAGTAGAAGAGCTCCTTCTTTTCTTTAATTCATGATATTTCATATAGAGATACGTATTTGGGAAGTTTTTAGTAAAATCATATTCGACTTGTAAAAATTAATTTCATTGTTTTGAAGTATTTAAATGTTATCCGAGAAAAGTATTCTTTACGCAGATTTTCAACAGGAAAATCATAATATCATTAAAGTTGATGTTTTTCATCATGAAAAAGCGTTGTGCCTTTTGATTTGAGATCATATTGAAAGATGCAACAATTTTTTATGATGAGAACCACTAACTTTAATGTTACTATACATTCTTTGTGAAACACTGACTTGAACAATGCCGTTAGTAATAGCATTTCATCACTATAGAGTGAATTTTGATACTTTTTTTTTTTTTTCTTAAAGATGTAAGCAATGTAATAGATGATTATTGAAAGGAAAAAAACGACATAATGAATATAATTGCTTAGGATCAATTATGATATGAAATAAAATATTCTAGTGATTAACTAGTACATATTAAAGATATTTCATTTTAAGAACTAAAATAAATATGTACAATATGATTAAGTCTAAATGATAGTAATAGAAGTGTTTATTTATTAGAGAGTAACTTATCTATTAAATGATCGGATATAATGTATTGTATACTTTGTACATTGATTTATACGATCCAATCATTTTCTTTTTCAACTCACTGAAAAGATATTTATTTGAAAACTATCATTTTCTCATGATGAATATATGTATCGTTTTCTTTTCAATGAAAAGAATCGTCGAAGCAAAGAGTTGTAATTGTTTCTTCACTTATTCAGTCTGTCTGATATCATTATCGACAGTGTTCCTTTTTTTTTTCTTTCTTTTTCTATTCAATTCCAATGAGACTACCTGTTGTGAGAAAGAGAGTCTTTATATATTCATTCTTTATATACATATAATGAGCATCGACATATATATTGTCATCAATGGTAAAATGATAAAATGCCAGTAAAGACGATTGTATACATTCTAATGATCAAATAATGATTGTGATAACCTGTTTTTCAATTCATCGTTGGAATGTCATATCACTTCTTTGCTATATGAATTTTTATATGTTCTGCTTTTCATTCTTTTTTTCTTTTTCGTCTTTCTTATATGTGAGAACGACGACGATGATGGCCATTAGTCAAATTATTCGTCGTCGATGGCACCCGGGTATCGATTGTTCCGTTCTCTCTCTCTCTCTCTCTCTCTCTTTTTTACCTGGTCATTAAATATTGCGGGCGGCAGATAAACGGCGACATTCTCAACACCCATGTCTTTATGATCTGCTATGACAGTTAGAAGGATGATGATTAAGCAAACAGAAGTGTTCTCTCTTTCTTTCTCTCTCTCTCTATTTCTTCGAAAAGCGAATATATATATATAAATGAATGAATAAATACAATAAGCAAGTAGACGACAAAATTGAAAGAGAATATACAAATGAGACTTTGATGATGGTACATAAATAAAACTATAACTAATCCGATCAGTTATTAAAAAGAAAAGATTTTTGTTTTTTTTTTAACTATGTTATCTTTACTTTCTTCATCTTCAACATTAAAACAAAATCATCATCATCATCATCATCATCAATGTACAGAATGTCGAAAATCATTTGCAACTCATAGGTATGCATATATATATATTGTTTTGATTTAAATAATATACAAGAGAATAATTGTTCTAGTGGACTCAAACAACATATGCATATACATAAAACAATCAAACCTTATACATGTGAAGTAAGTTTCAAAGTGTTGTCTATTTAAAAAGTAAATTTTTGTTTTGTTAATAAAAAAAAAAAGATTTGTTCAAAAGCTTATACACAATCATCAAATTTATGTCGTCATAAACGTATTCATTCACGTGAAATAAAATGTCCCAATTGTTTAATAACATTTCCAAATGGACAATATTATGTTCGACATAAAAAAACTTGTTCAGTTAATAATAATAACAATAATAATAATAATAATAATAATAATTTTAATGAAGAAAATAAATGTAAAGCTATTGGTGCTGCAGCTACACAAATGTATCATTCATTATCAAATAATTCAACAAAAGACATTTTTGAATCATCAACACTTCCTCTTGAAGCATGGGCAATTTTACATAAACAAATTTTATTTCATTTTTATCAACAACAACAACAACAACAGCAACAACAACATGAACAAATAGTTTGTGATACACCACTTGATTTAACAATACCGAAAAAACTATCAATTGAAGATGAATCAAATAGTAGTAGTAGTATGATATCAGATGAAGATGATGATGAAGATGATGATGATGATAAACAACAAAATGAACAACAACAACAACAACAACAACAAAATCGTTTAAATGGAAATAATTATTATGAATGCGAATTTTGTTCAAAACAATTTCCTCGTGCTGCAAATTTAACAAGACATTTAAGAAGTCATACAGGTGAACAACCTTATACATGTTTAATGTGTACAAGATCATTTAGTATATCATCAAATTTACAAGTATGTTAATAAAGATTTAGAAAAAAAAAAAAAACAAGAATTTATTTTTATATAATCTAGAGACATATTCGAAGTATTCATCATAAAGAACGACCATATGGTTGTATTGAATGTGGGAAACATTTTGGACAACAAACAAATCTTGATCGTAAGTTTTTATTTTTTTTTTTTTTTTATTAGAACTTTTTTCCTTTTCTTATTTTAGGACATATGAAGAAACATATTATCAATATATCTCGTATTTGAGAATGATTCTTTTCATTTTTCTTTTTCATTGTGTTTTTCTCTTCTATATTAATCGAGTTGTTTAATATAAAAAATGCTGTTTTAGATCTCATTTTTTTTTGTTTCTTACAGTATATTGACATCTTTTTAATCGAGTTCATTTTGTTCTCTCTGTTTTTTTTTTTTTTTTTACTTATAATCACTTTTCGGTCATATTAATAAATATTGATTCTGAATTGCTAATATAAATATATATATAGTTGAAATTTTGCAATTGATGAACTATTAGAATGGCTTATCATTTAAAGTTATCATATTGAATGATAAAAAATATAAATGATAATTTTTCATGAAAAATCTATATTGAAAAATAACACTACATGTAGAAGATATTGACAATTGAATTAAACTTAATTCAATTCAGCAAGATAATCTATATCGAAGAAAGGAAGTAAATAGGAGTCATCGTAGAATTCCGAGTTTTTTAAAAGATTTTTTCAACAAAATGATAAAATAGAAGTAATAAAGAATTCATAATCGTTATTCTTCTTCTTTTCCATGGTAATGTACTACTCTATCTTTGATAATTCATGTGATATATAAGAGATTATTCTCCCATTTATAATAACGGGTGGGGCGAAAGTTTCTAGACAAAATGCTTGTTCATTTTTCACTCATCCGAAAGCATTGTAGATGAATACAAAAAGATGGGCAAGGACCAGGATTTTATGCTCTTTCCGAATATGAATTCAGAAGTTCGGTATCTATTTTCGTTTGCGAGCCGCAGGAGAATCTTTGAAAGGCTTAAAAAAATTAGTTTGGACGGAATAGTTGAGCCGAAATTTCTCGGTAACATTTGTTGTACTTTTGGCCTACCTAAAAGTATTGTAGATGAATAAAAAACTATAGGCTATGATCAGAATTTTGTGCTCTTTCCGAATCAGGCTTACCAAATCGATATTTCCGAAACCAGAAGATCTCGCAAAAAAAACCAGGAGTTCACCAGGAGTTTCATTTTTTAAATCAGGAGAAAAATCAGGAGATTTTTTTTCGAAAACGAGATAGCATTTAGCAACATTTTCTAACGAAAAGCTGTATTTTTCCTTATATACGCGCTTGTTACTTTCTTCTCATAAGGCATTCATAGCAACATTTGCTGGCAAGGGATATAGAAAAACAATAACATAATTACAAGTATTTTATATTATTAATCTTTTCATATTCGTTCACAAAATATCCAAACAAAATAAAAGTTCATTTATAAGCTGATATGAAACAAAAAAAATAAATATAGTAAGAATAGTTTATTTACTGTACTATCCGTAGCACTTTTGCAACATGAGAGTATTTTTCTGATGATCGGATTTGTTTCAACAAATCTGGTTTATGCAAGAGATATTCATAAAATTCGGTACAACTGAAATAACTATTCATCTTAATTTTTAATTCAGCACCAATAAACTCGTTTTTCATTTTGTTTCGACTATTATTCCCCAAAAATTCATGTGGCTAAAAATAGATTCACAAAAGGCATTTGATGCAGGTACAGAAAAAGAAAATTGAACTAATTTTTGTAAATGAGGTACATTTTCATCATTAAGAAGATAAGCCCCCAAATGATCACATCTGATTAACGGACGTTTCTTCTGATCTTTGTGAAATCTAGTATCACAATTGTCTTCGTTAGTATCAGAATGATCAAGATTATCGAATTCATTGAGCAAATCTGTTTTATCATAGTTCGTTATTTTAGCTTGTTGTAATTCAATTAAATTTGATGGAATAAATGCTTCTATTTGCTTATGAATTCCACCAAATTTTTCTTTTAATTCGATATATTTTGATTTTATTTGACTAAACTCATTATATAATAGGTCTTTATCAATTTTTTTATTATCAATAAATGTAGCACATTGTTCAATACTTCTCCATTGGATTTTATCAATATCTGTTTCACTAAAAATGGATATTGATTTGTAAAACGAAGAACGTTCGTGGTAATACTTTTCAATATAGTTGATAATCGAATGAATAAATAATCTAAACGATTCCACTAAATCGTCTACTTCATTTGAATGTGGAATTTTTTTCAATAACTCGTTCACCTTATGACCAAAAAACTCTTCATGTAACCGATTATTTAATTTACAAATGAAACTTGTTATTATACTATGTAAATCAACACCTGTTGTATAATATTTCTGTAATCTCAAATTTGTATCTTGAACATCTTTTAAAACGTTCACCAGGAAGTATAGTGTGCATTCACCTGTAGAAAACATGAGAAATAATATATATGTTTATTGAAATAAAATTCTTACCACTATTAGAAATAAAAAATTCTAATAAAAGTTTTGGACATTTCTCATTTTCTAAATTCAAAAACTAACTTTTGACTACCGGATAAACTATGAATAGACGATCAATAGATTGCAAAAGACTAAGCCATCGAATACGAATATGTTTTAGAATAACCTAAATGAAAGATGCAAACAAATTTGACTATTTTTAAAAACCAAAAAATGACATTATCAAGTGGAACAATTAAAATGTGTTTTTGTTTTACTTTCTGTTCTTGTTCAATAAAATCGAAATAACGTTTTAATTCATATGAACGAACTGTTGATCTACAAAAATGGACGTAAATCTTGAGGAGAGCACTTTCAATATCAATTAACAAATGTTCATTTCCATTTTTTACTGAATTGTGAAGAACATGTGCATAGCAATTTTCTAAAAATGAAATGATATAGAATAGGTTCCTTTTTTCAGTAATAATATTATAAAACCCTTTACCTTTGATTAAACCAGGCAATAATTGATGAAATAAAGAAAAAACACTATGATGATCACCAATGTTTACATTGGTATTGTCAAATCCGGGTGAGACAAGCTTCTCTATTTCTAGTTCATTCGATTCTAAAATGTAATGAATGTTAACAAATAATCCATCAGCTGTTTCATGTTGTTGTTCGATGAATTCGATGATTCCATGCTTCACTCGATATTTAGAAAAATATTGAGCTACAACAGGAAGCATTTTTGAATTACCACTATTTCAAGCATCATAACCAATCGAAAAAAAGCAACGTTTCGTAGTTTTAGAATAATATCATTTGTAAAAAATGGTGTAAGAACATTACATGCTATTTCCCGAGCCTAATTATCAAATAGATGATAGGTTTTTCAGTAGTATTATATGATTAATATCATTTTTACTTTTGTACTGTCAAAGAAATTTTATTAACTGTAGGAGAATCAGAAATACATTTTTTTATCGTATTGATCGTGCAAGCATGTGATATATAACTGTGGGAATGCTTTACAGTACGAAAAACCATTGCACCTTCAGTAGCACACAATCGATTTAATTCAGTTGTTGTATGAAATAATGTGTTAATCGTTTTTGCTGCAAAGAAAATTACTTGCTATGACAGTAATTTATTTTTGGAGTCGGTACAAAAAGATCTTACATTTATTGGCTTCAGACGACTTAAAACGTTCTTGATGCTTCTTTGTTTTTATGTGGTTGTTTATATCAGTTACGCCACTGTTTGAGATTGAAAATTGCACATTACAAATACAACATAGTGCTTTTGTTTCATCATTTTTACATTCTTTTAGAAAACTAGAATATGTGATATTAGATAGCCATTCTCTGTTAAACTTAGATGCGTAACGTTTATTTATTGTAGCAGATGCAGATGCAGCAGCTTTCGATTTTGAATCATTCCTTGGTGATACTGAATCAGCATGGTTTACAGGTTCAAGTGGAATTGAAGATATAAAATTTTTTTCTAATAGATTTTGGAATTTCAGTAATATCATCATCATGAGACGAGGTCATTGGAAAATCACACTATGTACTCTTGTTTTTTTTTATTTATAGTTACACAAGTACTTTTATTATCTTTACCCAGGTGGAAGAAAATGGCCCATAAACGGCATAAAAATTATGTAAAACGTTAAAAAACGGCGCCATTTTCCGTTAGCTCGGAAAACGCGAAGAGAATAGTGTTAAAAGCGATGGCCGTTTCCGATGGCCTTTCAGACGACCGGAATGATCCTCCTGGGTATGCACAAAATTAAAAAGTTTATTGTTAGACAGAAAAAGACAATGAAAAGTAGAAGAAGCTTATTTTCCTATTGGTTGCTGAGTTAATCTAATCCGAAAAAATATGATATTTGTTTGGTGTTGGCTTTTCCCCTTGGTTAAGCATGCCGCTAAAATTCGAGATGAAAAAAAAACAACAAACCAGGAGAAAATCGTCAAAACCAGTTCCTGGTACCAGGAGATTTTTTCGTCAGGAGAAATGCTCAAAAACCAGGAGTCTTCTGGCCAAACCGGGAGGTTTGGTAACCTTGTTCCGAATGTACTTTCAAGAATTTTGAACTAGAGTAGTGAGAGAATCTTTGAACATGATGGAAATTTGGTTTGGTTGACGAACAAATAGGCATTTGTGTCTTCCGTACGTCTTTATATGAAGGTGTTAATAACGGTTGGATATGGCAATTTTCTAGATCTCAGTGCTCTACAAAATGTGATGTCGAACTCTAATGCAGCTCTTATAGAAGTGAAATTACAAGCGTTTTGTGAGAAACTATTTTTACGTGAGATCAATTTTGGTCAAAAAATCGGTTGTTCAAAAACCAGGGTAATATGAAAACAAAAATTTAGATGCTTCATAGGAAACACAAAGAAACTGAAACAGTGCATTTTGTAGGGCAGGATTCACTCTATAATCTGATATATGAACCAAAGTTTCAATGTTGAGTTTGGAATCCCAAGAGAGAAGATACTAAAGTGCATAAAAAATATTTCCGTCCAAACTAGTTTTTAAGCCTTTCAAGGATTCTTTCACGTCTCGCAAACAAAAATAGACACATAATTTTTGATCTCATATTCGGAAAGAGCACAGAATTCCGGTCCTTATCCATCTTTTGCAGTCCTCTAGAATACTTTCGGATGGATAAAAAAAATTAACAAGCATTTTGTCAAGAAACTTTCCCACCACCCGTTATATATGAATTATCTAATTAGAACATAACCATTCTCCAATCAAAATAAAGTCTGAAAGATATTTATTAAAAGAAAAGCATAGGAAATATTTCTAATGGAATTGTTGTATAAAGTAAGTTGTGAAGAAAAAAAAATCTTCATTGTTATTTTATTTATCCCAATATTTTGGATTTTGTTTATACCATTGAATAGTTTTATCAAGTCCTTCATCAAATGATACTTTTGGTTTCCATGCAAGAGTTTTTACTGCACTATTTGTTATTGAAGAATATCGTTTGTCAGTAAATGATCTTGGTTTATCATATATAATAATATCTTCTGGATTTTTATTCGGTTGAATTTTTTTTATAAGACTTTTAGCAATATCAAGTATACTTAATTGATATTCTGTTCCAATATTATAAACCATTTTTGTTTTGCCTTGATGAAAAATAATTTCAATAGCATTAACAACATCATCAACATAAATATAATTTCTTGTTTGTTTTCCATCTCCATGAATTTTTAAAGTTTGTCCATTTGATAAATTATTAATAAATATTGGAATGAGTTTTTCAATATGTTGCCGTGGTCCATAAACATTACATAAACGTACAATACAATAAGATAATTTAAAACTATCACCATAAGATTTAACAAGAAATTCAGCTGCAGCTACTGTTGCTGCATATGGATTCATTGGATTAAGAAGACCTGTTTCTTGATAACTTCCAGGTGCTGTTTCACTATTAACTTCATCAGTACTAATATGAATAAATTTTACTATTCTACCATATAGGCGACTTGCTTCAAGAACTGAATGTGTTCCAGACACATTGCTTTGGGTAAATGTAATACTATTACCAAATGAATTATCAAGATGAGCTTGAACTAAATGTAAAATTAAAAAATTTTTATTTTTAAATGAAAATAAATATTGTTTCTATATCTACCGGCAAAATGAACAATATGTGTAATATTATATTGTTTCATTAAATGTAAGATAATATCTTTGTTATCAATATCTGCGACAACTAATGAATAATTTGGTGATGTTGAATTTTGAATATTTTTTATATTCGATACTGGATCAAGTCGATCAATATTAATTATTTGATCTTCTGGATATTTTTCAAGCCAATGATTAATAAATGTACTACCAATAAATCCACAACCACCCGTCGCAAGAACAATTCTTGGTGCATTTGAATTACGATTAATTGAGTTTTGTTGAAGATATTGTACTATACTGTTTGGTGCATTTGGTATTACAAATGATGCTTGATAAAGATGGCGTGTTTCAGGTAAAATCATTTCTTTATTCCATTTTTCGAATTGATCAATTAAATCTTCAGTATTAATTATTTGCGCTATACTTGTTGTCGTTTTCGATTGGTTCGAAATCAATCTTTCTAGACAATTCAGTGATATTTTACCTTTATTAGAAACATTTACTTGACCTTGTACTTTACCATCATGTATTAATGCTAATAAAATAGGTAAAATATCAGAAAGAATAGTTATATGATGAGTTTCTTCGGGATCATTTTTCCATAATGAATTTAAATATTTTAACAAAATTGTTTCATTTAAGTCTTCATCACTAATCGGTGTATAAATTTTTGCACTAGAAGAAAACACAATAATTTATTATTCAAAACAGTTGATTCAACATACTGAATCATATTTGAATAAAGATTAATCAATTCATTTGTTGCATTTTGAACAATATTAACTGATAATATTGAATCTATATTATTATTATCATTTGTAAATGTTAATAAAAGTACAGGTATAGGAGATTGCAGATGTATGGTTGCTTGACCAACATAAATAGGAATAAGTAGATGATCATTGAGTATTTTATGAAGAGGATGGTTATTTTCAAAATTTCCTTGATTGTCAATAACAATAATACGATCTGGTTTATATTTATTAATTTTTTCTTTTATATCTTGTAATGATAAAGTTCCACGATGATGATCATGCATAACTGCTTGTCCAGCAACTTGTAATAACTCATCACATTGTTTTACAATTGCATTTAATTCATAGCTAAAAAGTAACCAACGCATTTTCTTATTTTAAAACTGAATATTAGCGTATCAATAAGCTACGTGGCTCTTTGTTTCTTTATTCGTTTTTATGTGTATACGTGTTTGTTTGTCTTCGACTCACTGAATGAAGAATCGTTAGTCGTATAGTAAATGATAGAACGAAAAAAAGGTACTATAAATAAAATAACGCACATTTAGCTTAATATTATTTTTTCTCAATTACATCTATTAGTACGTACCCTCACCCGGAAAAAGTCATCAAAATCGAGTTTTTACAGCCTCAAATCGATTGGATAAATTTCTACCAGAAATTCAAGCTAATTTTTTTAGTTCGGAATCTCGCTGGCCGTTTCGAGCCTAGGCCCAGATCACGAGATATTCACAAAACTAGCGTCACCTATATGATAGTTTCACGAATATCTCGTGATCTAGATTTGGGCTCGAAACGGCCAGCGAGATTCCGAACTAAAAAAATTAGCTTGAATTTCTGGTAGAAATTTATCGAATCAATTTGAGGCTGTAAAAACTCGATTTTGAT